GGCCACTGCACTCCAGCCTGGGCGACAGAGCGAGACTCCGTCTCAAAAAAAAAAAAAAAAAGATGTTTTCAATGTGAAACCCACTGATATGGCGGGCCAACTATTCTGTCCCCTCTGTCTGCAATACTTTCTTCCACCCTTCTGCCAAGCTAAAGCCTGCTCATCCTTTAAAATTTAACTTCCTCGGAAAAGCCTTATCCCCACTCCTGGGTCAGTCCAGTTGCCCTGTTAGACCCTCCCATAGCACACTGGACTTCAACTTCAAAGCATTTTTCAGACATAATTCATTTATTGGTTACTTATTCATTCATTCATTGATAAATATTAATATTGAGTGCCTACTATGTGCCATGTACTGTTGTGGACACTGTGCGATCAGCAGTGAACAAAAGTCCCTTCCCTCATGGAGGTTACACTTCAGTGATGTAAAGCAATGTAAGACAATGAAAATAACGAAATGCATAACTTGTCAGGTGATGAAAAATGCTGTAAAACATCAGGAGGCCAGGTGCGGTGGCTCATGTTTGCAATCCTAACACTTTGGGAGGCCAAGGTGTGAGGATTGCTCCAGCCCAGGGTTTGAGAACACACGGGGTGACATAGCAAGACCCCATCTCTACAAAAAATAAATTTTTTTTTTTTTTAAATTAGCTGAGTGTGGCCGGGCGTGGTGTCTCACGCCTGTAATCCCAACACTTTGGGAGGCTGAGGCGGGCGGATCACGAGGTCAGGAGATTGAGACCATCCTGGCTAACACGGTGAAACCCCGTCTCTAATAAAAATACAAAAAATTAGCCGGGCGTGGTGGGGGTGCCTGTAATCCCAGCTACTCGGGAGGCTGAGGCAGGAGAATGGCACAAACCCAGGAGGCAGAGGCTGCAGTGAGCCAAGATCGCGCCATTGTACTCCAGCCTGGGCGACAGAGCAAGACTCCACCTCAAAAAAAAAAAATTAGCTGAGTGTGGTGGCACATGCCTGTTGTAACAGCTACTCAAGAGGCTAGGGTGGGAGGATTGCTTAAGCCCAGAAGGTTGAGGCTACAGTGAGGCGTGATTGTGCTACTGCACTCCAGCATGGATGACAGAGCGAGACAGACCCCATCTTAAAAATTAAATTTAAAAAAGGCCGGGCGCGGTGGCTCATGCCTATAATCCCAGCACTTTGGGAGGCTGAGGTGGGCGGATCACAAGGTCAGGAGTTTGAGACCAGCTTGACCAACATGGTGAAACCTCGTCTCTACTGAAAATAGAAAAATTAGCAGGGCGTGGTGGCGTGCACCTGTAATCCCAGCTGCTCGGGAGGCTGAGGCAGGAGAATCACTTGAACCCGGGAGGCGGAGGTTGCAGTGAGCTGAAATGGCGCCACAGCCCTCCAGCCTGGGTGACAAAGCGA